AGTACTGGAAGAAGAAAGAAAGAAAGGAAGAAAGGAAGGAAGGAAGGAAGGAAGGAAGGAAGGAAGGAAGGAAGGAAGGAAGGAAGGAAGGAAGGAAGGGGGAGAAAGGACAAAAAAGAAATCAATTCATTTGAAGGTTTTGAGTAAAAGAGGGAAATGATCAGATTTATATTTTATCAGGATCCATCTTGCTGCTACACTATAGAGAAGGCAATAGTGGATGTAAAAGATGAAACAGAATGTGGTGATAGAGAATCTGAAAGGTGTTCAGATTCAGGCAAAGCTTTGAAGATAGAATTGCTAATGGGTTGATTAAGGGGTGTTTAGCTTGAACCAAAAGTTTTGGGGTTTTGGTCTAGACAGGTAACTGAATGAAGGTATTATTACTGACGTGAGGAAACTGAGATGGGGATTCATTTCAGGACAGAAATTCAGTTTTAGATTTGGGAGAGATGGTTGACTTCTAGGTTTTGGGGGACAATAGATCTATAGTAACTGCAACTGGTGTTAATCTTTTACAGGAGTATGTCTAGGTGGAGGTGAGGAAGCAGAGAAACAGAAGAAATAAAGTTCTTCCTGAGTAATTCCCTACATATTCAAGTGATTAAAAAGTAGGTCAGTCATCTGAGCCTGTTTTATAGATAATATGATTTTAAGGCAAGAAGAAGTCTGTCTTCAAATTTTTTTCCCTAATTTCTACTGTCTCAATTTGTGAATTTAAATCACAGTAATTTATTCCCTAGTTAGACCTAGACAATAGTCAGGTAATTTAAAGCATCAATAGCTTGAGAGATAATCCAGTGTATATGAGTTTTTATTAAGGTGTAACAGAGCAGATGAAGGTCCTGCATGTTTCAAAAGGAGGCAAAGATTGCCTATGATAAGAGAAAACATGTAGATAAAACAAAGATTTCACAATCTTGCTGAGCATGCTCATTATTCAGGTAGACATTTATCATAATATCTAAGTGAGAAAATAGAGAAAGAAATATTCGTATCTCAAATGATCATCTAGGTTTATGTATGAGTGGGAAGCAGGCATCTAAATTCTTTCTCTTCCCCACAGTTTAATTCTTATTCTTCTCCCAAAAGTGCTCTTCAACTAGAAGACCTCTGGCATGATAGAGGCTTGTCACCTCTGTGAGGGCCAGATTTCAAGCTGATTGCTGTGGAGAATGCTACTTCTCTGTACAATTACTCCATTTGATGTTGAGATATCCTAAAGGGAAGTTACTGCATTGAACACTAGAGAGATTAAAGGCAATTTTTATATTATGTATTTTTTCTGATTGTCAGAGTAAGATAATTTCATGCAGAGCATTTAAAAAAAAGTTTTAAAACTCCAAACAAAAAAGACTTAAAATTCCTACTAACTATGGGAACATTATAACAGCATTTTGGCATATCTACTCCCAGTACCTTGTGCCTTTTGTTCTTTCATAATTGAACTCCTTATTGTACAAGCAACTTTACATCCTGCTGTCGCATTTTTATGGTTACCTAATTATCTATTACAGCTATCCCATGATTTACTTTTTTGATTATTTATGATTATAAGTAACACTGTGGTAAACTGCTGTGAGCAGTAAATTTTTGCTCTTATTTTGGGTGACTTACTGAAACAGTAAATGGTAGATTAAGGGTATACCCTTTTAAAAAAATGTTTCTGATACATTGTTACACTGATTTACAGAAAGGTTGTTATTAAATTATACTTGAGGGCAATGGAAAGCTATTAAAATTATTTAATCTGGCAGAAAATATATGTCAGTAGTTCTTACAAAGCATTGTGCCTTTGGGGAAAAGCCCCTTTGGAAAAGTGTCTGTCTTAAAGTATGAAAATTCTTAATATTACATTTTCTATACCACATAACATATCTGGGTCATGGGGAGAAGTAAGGGGAAGAACTGATAAGAATTTGAGGTACTTAAACTAATATATTAGACATGATCAACATGAGAAACTAAGGATACCAACACTATGAAAAGACCTAAATATTTTAAATACTAATTCAGAATATTATTTGGTTATAACATGTCAGGTTTATTTACTTATTTTGTATGATTTCATGTTGTTTAAAGGGAAACAATGTAACTGGGTTTTAGTCCATTACTCAGTTGTGAAATCAGTTTATTTGCTATGACCAATACTTTTAAATACTTTTAAGAGCAAATTCAGTCAAATGTGGCAGCACTCACCTGTGATCCCAGCTACTCAGGAGGCTGAGGCAGGAGGATAACAAATTTATGGCCAGCTTGGGCAATTTAGTGAGACCTTGTTTCAAAAAAGGGCTGGGGATGTAGCTCTGTGGTGGAGTATCCCTGGGTTCAATCCCCAGTACTGAAAAACGAAACCAAAAATATTGTAAATTAAATGAAAAACGGGAAAGCATTGCACTTAATTAAGGGAAATATTATTTTGTGAAAATTGTTTTCAGTTGTGGGTGTATTACAGAACATATTTTTTATCGTGGGATTTTATGAAAGAAAAATAATTTGAAGTCATGGGAGAGTGGAAAGAGTCTGGGCTTTGGAATTAGTTAGACCTCAGTTTGGATCTGGTCTGTGCATATGCATGACTTGCCAGTTACTACCTTCTCTCTGGCTCCTTCCCAGGGTGTGCACAAGTGTAGAAATTTCTTAGTGTGCAGTGATTAATAAATATGTAATTACTTCCAAATCTTTCCCCCAATAATGTCCTCCTTGTAGAAATATTCATGAGAGGGAAGACAATGTTTTAGTGAACTTGCTATATTCTGTTTTAAAAATACCTCCCTCAGTCTTTTCTCAAATTTGGTTTAGTAAGGAGAGTTGAACACAGTTCTTTCCCGTCTTTTCCTGTTCTCACATTGTACTTTATTATAAAATTTGGCATTTCACCTGTTGAATATTGTCTAATCATTTCATTGTTTAGCTAGTATAATGGACTTTCAAATCTCTTCTAGTTCTTAAGACAGAGCTGGGCACATGGCAGGGGGCCAGATGAAAATTTGTTGAGTTTGGACTACAGCACATTTTTTTTTTTTTTTTGCAAAGTATCGCTTGTTATGTACGGGGAAGCAGATGTAATGCTGATTCCACCAGCATTTCTCACTCAATCTACTCCATGCTAAACAGGCCAGTTAGGCATTAAGTCATGTCTCTGGATAGCACAAGTGGAAAGTGTGAACAGAAAAACCACTTTGTGCGAGGGCAGTTGAAAATTAGATCCCTTCCCCTCCCCATTCCTATTCCCATCTGGGAGGGGGCACTTATCAGTCTGGAGGACCAGGACCCAGAAACGTGCTGGCGTCCTGAGCTCCAGAGGCTTGTCAGCACGCACGATCTCCCGCACTGAGAGCCCTTCTTCCCAGATGAATTCTCATAGTATCGCAGTCTCGATCGATACTGGATGGCAGACGTGCTCCCACCGTCAAGTGTAGGCACAGGGCGGTGGATTTAGCCACCCTGCCTCTCGATCGCAGCATCTCATCAGTTCAATACCTGCAGAGGATGTAACCAGTTCCCCGGTGGACACCCACCCTGTGGTCTCCACTTCCCGCTGCGGTTTCCCTCCACAGTCCTCCCTGATCGTCAGAGCTTTCCAGTCAGGCCGGGGGGGGCGCAGGGTCGCTGCTGTGCGGGGCTCTCCGATGGATGGTCCCATCCCAGGAGGCGGCTGAGGTGGGGAGGGCCGCACTCCCTCACACTCTAGACCTTACCTTCCTGCGTCTTCACCTGGGGCGGGGGTTGAGGCGAGCAGCAGGGGAAGGCTGCCCCTCTGCAGACCTCAAGCCGCTCAGAGGCACTGCTAGGAGGGGCAGTGAGGTGCGCCGCCACCCAGCTGAGGCTTCAAGGCTGAGCCTGGCAGACAAAACCCCGCCCCCGGCACCCGCTCCCACTCCTGATTGGCTGGATCAGCCAGGAGGTGGCCCAACAGGCCCTCGGCCCGCGTCCCAGCTATAAAGCCAGCCTGGGCATGACTGCCGTGGCGAAGCTTGTGTAGCTCTTGTCGCTCGCCCGCTCTCAGCCCTGTGGTCCCTCATTGCTCCTGGAGCCTGAGCGTTCCCGAATCCACCATGCCGAGGGGCTTCCTGGTGAAGCGAACTAAACGGACAGGTGGCTCATACCGAGTGCGCCTAGCTGAGCGGGTCTTCCCCTTGCTGAGACCCCAGGTGGCGCCGCCCTTCTCCCTGGAGGTTCCCAGTGTCTCCCTTCCCGGTGCGGAGCAGGCGGCGCCCCCCACCCAGGAGGAGCCCGGAAAGGGGCTGACGGCGGAGGCGGCCCAGAAACTGTCCGGGTCACCCTGTCGGGCGGCTGGGGTGAGCCTGGGAATAGGCGGGCAGGAAGGCACAGAATGGAGGGCTGATGACAGGGAGGGTCCCAGACCCAGCCCCAGCCCCGCAAAGCCGGCGGGCACCGAACTCCGCCGGGCGTTCTTGGAACGCTGCCTCAGCTCTCCTGTCTCCGCTGAGTCTTTCCCCGGTGGTGCCGCCGCTGTGGCTACTTTCTCCTGCTCGGTGGCTCCAGCAACCGCACCGACCTCGGGGGAACAGTTTTTGTTGCCTCTCCGGGCACCATTTCCCGAGCCCGCGCTCCAGCCGGACCCTGCGCCCCTCTCTGCCACCTTGCAGGGCCTGAAGCGAGCCTCTGGCAGCGAGCGCCGTGTCAAGGTATCTCTAGGCTGTGCGCCTGGAGTCACGGCTGCGGGAATCAAGAAGCCAAAGGCCATGAGGAAGTTAAGCTTTGCCGATGAGGTGACCACGTCCCCTGTTCTGGGCCTGAAGATCAAGGAGGAGGAACCGGGACCACCTTCCAGGGGCTTGGGTGGCAGCCGCACACCTTTAGGAGAGTTCATCTGCCAGTTGTGCAAGGAGCAGTACGCAGACCCCTTCGCGCTGGCTCAGCATCGTTGCTCCCGCATAGTGCGTGTTGAGTACCGCTGCCCCGAGTGCGATAAGGTCTTCAGTTGCCCTGCGAACCTCGCCTCTCATCGCCGCTGGCACAAGCCACGTCCTGCAGCAGCAAGCGCTGCCACAGTCTCCTCCGCCGACGGGAAACCACCTCCTTCATTGTCTTCATCTTGTCCGGACTCCGGGTCCCTTGCATCTTTTCCGTCCGAAGGGAAAGAGAATAGCAGGGCAGAGCGGACTGCGGATCAGCACCCGCAGGTCAGGGACAGCTCCGGGGAGGATCAGCACCAGGACAGTGCTTCGCACCAAGGCCTTCAGGTGCTTCCGCACCGGGAGTCACCATTGCCACAGGTCTCCTACCGAGAGGGGGTGTTGGGGCACCAGGTGTCTGGGCCGGGCAGTGCCAGTAGTGGTGGGGGATCTGAGATCTTCATATGCCCATATTGCTACAAAAAGTTTCGTCGCCAAGCTTATTTACGCAAGCACCTGGGAACTCACGAGGCAGGCTCAGCTCGTGCGCTAGCTCCCAGCTTTGGCCCCGAACGCAGGGCACCACTCTCCTTCGCTTGCCCGTTGTGTGGGGCTCACTTCCCATCCGCAGATATCAGAGAGAAGCACCGGCTGTGGCACGCTGTCCGCGAGGAGCTGCTCCTGCCCGCTCTGGCGGGGGCTCCTGGTGAAGCACCAGGCCCCGGAGGTGCATCTGATGGAAGTGCTCAGCAAATTTTTTCATGCAAGCACTGCCCGTCCACTTTTTTTAGCTCTCCAGGGCTGACCCGGCATATCAATAAGTGCCACCCCTCAGAAAGCCGGCAAGTATTGCTGCTGCAGATGCCACTGAGGCCGGGCTGCTGAGGGCCCAAGAGACCAGGAAGATTTCAAGGCTGGCCTTGGGGAAAACAGATCATAGGAATCGCTGTGGGGACTTTCTTCAACTTGCAAGTTTACTTTCTTTTCCAGGCTTTCCCTCCTAAAACTCTCCCAGTAGTCAATGTTCTGCCAGGGGAGCAGACAGAAAAATGTAAAATCCTCCTCTAGAGCAGGTATGTATAAGGTATAAATATTCATAGTCAGACTGTCAGCTTTAAATCTTCCTCACTAAAATAGGATTTCCCCCCTCAAAACTCTGGAGACCCTAACAAATCCTATATGATTTGTAATTCCTATGGAAATTTGCAGTGAATGCATGCATGTCTCAATGTCTACAAAGGGTTCTGGCTACCAAACGTGGTGGTCACCAGTTTTTGTTTTTCCTCTTGCCATCACAGGCACCTATATAGTTTCTGTCTCAATAGGGTCAGATATCTTGCATTGTATATTCTGTGAATTAAAAAGTTATGTGATTGGTGCCAAACTTACAGGGGGGCAAAGATTCAAGCACTATGTCCAGGGCCAGGAAACATAAGAGGATGTTTGCTGCTTTGGGGGGATATGAAAATCTCCCTTGTAACCTTTTGACAAGTATATGTACTAGTCTATTTTTAGTTTTTGGAGGTGGTACTTTACTGGAAGGAGTTGAGACACTCTCCAAATTCTTACCTTTAGCTATTTTGTGTGCAGTGTTCAGGAAGAGTTGCTTTAAACCTTTCTTTACATAGCTTTTCAGAAATGTAGAACTTGTTTCCTGACATTTGACTGTTTTAGTAAGATTTCACCCAAATTATTTAATGCTTCTGCTGTGTATCTCATACTGTATATATGAAATTTGTTCAGCTTAAGGAAGATGTTAATACCTGTAATACATTATGAAACTGAATGGCAATTCACTCAATATTTAATATTTTCTTTTCAGCAGCAACTTTTCAATTTCTTTTTGTAAAGCATATTCAGTGTACATTCTGTACTCATCCCCTAATAGCTAGAGTTTGGGATATTGGCTGAGCATTGCTTGACAGCTCAGATTTGTAAGATGCTTATCACCAAATAAATGTACATAGACTGTGCTTTGTTTTGTTGTTTGTCTAAATAATGGCTGAACACAGCATATTTTCAAAGTCACATTTATTATCTCCCCATTGCCAGTATTCTACTTTAGAATTTTAGTGGCCCATTTGGACAGAATACAAAGACAGGAGATGTATTTTGCAAATGAACGCATGGTGTAGAAATGCTATCCATTTGAAGTATAGCTGCACAGACCGACCCGCCCAAAGGCCAAAAATATGTACTGATATTTCAATGTATTTTCTATTGCTATTTGTTAAAGTATTTTCTTAAAAAAGGTTCAGAATAGTGTCACCTGAAAATTACAAAAGTTATAACTGTCTGTTATAATTTTAAAGTGATATCACTAAGCTAATTTCACTATCTCAAGTTGGTATTTTCAGTCCATTTTATTATACATTACTATCAATCCAGTAGATGTTTATTTAAAACAAACTGAAAGCACCTTAGAAACATGTGAACAGTAATGTTTGATTCTCCTTTTTATAATCCTTCACCTTGACTATGGGAAATTGTCTATATTGTTAAGTTTGTTCCCAAGGACTCTTTATCCATTTGTTCATTTTTTAAAATAAGCATTCATAGAAATTTTTAGTTTGTATTTACAAGAAAACAAAAAATGAAATGCATGGGAACTCAGTAACTCTGAAAAGCTATTTTAGAAAATTTTTCTGGAAAGTTTTAGTCCTAAGAGCATATTATAAAACAATGTGACATTTAAGAAATTAAAGAAGCATAAGGTCTGTAATAAATTGATCCTTTAACCAACTGCACTGGGTGAAGTTTCTGGCCAGTCTTAAGAAGGTGTAAATTTCCTGTGTTCTTAATGACTGTGGAGGGATCTCTGAGAAATAATTTGGAGTATATCCTCAATAGGAAATTCAGTTTTCGTGATTACCTAAGATAATCTCAGTTTATGTTTTACATCTCCCCATTAATCATACAGCCCTGCTTATTAAATCTGAAAATACATGAAATATTTAAGACAAATCATGGACAGGACATGATAAGAATATTTTTATTGTGTTATTAAATACCATGTCATTTTTTAACCCCCCACAGTTACAAATTTGTAGACACTATATGAATGATACATAATTTATATTCTATGGTTTGCCAGTATGATATATTTATTTACACATGCAGTTGGTACCAATGTCATGCTACATATTTCCTTAAGAGATGCCCATTCAAAACAAAATGTGAGCAGCTTATCTACCATAGGAAAATACTTCTGGAGGATGGAATGTCTACCAACTTGCACTGGAAAGTTCAGTATTAATAATATTAGATTTAACTTAGACTCCTGGGTCATGTTCCCTTTTCTTTTTAATAATACACATAATTTAAGCAACATATTTATGTCAGAAAATTATGTTTTTTCCTCCTATGGATCATCTTCTTTTTGCTACTTAAGAAAGAACACAGATAAGCCAGGATCTATCAGCCAATAATCAAGGGCCACAATCTCAAAACAGAAATAGCAATTTAACAGCAATACCACTTAAAAGCAAAACATTAGAAAATTATTTGGAAGCTAAATAGAAATCAAAATTCGGCAATGATTTTTCTAGTTATTGGATATGTCATGGTATCACCTGCACAGCCAAGAAATGAGACATTGTCTTGGGAAGAAAAAGTTAATGCTAAAATTATTTTACTTAAGAATTTGAGATGCTAAGTGAGCATTTTGAGTGTTTTATTTTTGTAACAAATACTCTACACACATCTGTATTAACAGATTTGTAACTTTTTGCTCTTACTTTACAAATGCTTAAACTTAATTTTACATTTGTAAAAAAATTATACATTTATTGAGCCATAAAGCTGCAATGAGGCACAATAAATAAAATGAGACTATTTGTCCAATTATATTTTGGCTCAACATTAATCATGAAATTAAAGGTAAAACTATTTAGACATAATTATCTAGGAAGGTAAAGAGTGTAAAATAAAACTCCACACCCTCAAAATATGGCAGCTTGGAGTGTGAGGAAAAAACAAATTGAATAAATAGTCCAAATCTAAAATATTAGGTTACAAATTATTTGAGTCCAGTGTTTTCTCAAATATACAGGAAAGAACATGCACGTTATGGCAGGAATGAAGGCCTGCAAGGATTAACACTTTGTTCGTGCTAAGGTGGTTACTGCTGATCACTGTTGGGCTGCTTGTCTCCTTAGGATTTATTGGCTGAGCCAGAGGAACGACGCAGTTTCATGGACATGCGGCTTTTGCTAGTTCGAGGAGACATTGGAGAGGCCAGGTCAGCCCCATCTACCTGCGTTGCTGTGGGAGCTTCACTGGGTAGAATCTCTGGGTAGGAGCCTGTAGGAAACAGCAAGAACATAAATATATAGTCATCTGGCCTCTCATCTCATAAGACATAACCTTTCTGCTACTGATCTGGAGTAAGGATCCCACCCCTTAATGAGGTCTTTTGAAAAAAAAAAAGCAAGCCCCAGATTTGCTTGTTACCACAGCCTGCTAATGTAGTTAAAACCCAGTGATTTGGTGGCTCAGGTCATCATATTAGCCATATAGCGCCAATCATCATGTCCAGAGCCAGAACCCTGGACAAAGCAATGGGAAGCAAAATCTCTGGGCAGAAAGATGAGGAATTCAAAGCACCAGTGGCATGCAAGGAAGGGCACAAGAAGCAGGTGAGAAAGACCAATTCTACTTCTAGGGTTCAGGGAATAACAACAAGAAAAACAAAACAAAAACAAAAAGCTGGGTGGTGGGTGGGCAGACACTTCACTACTCAAACTAGAGGAAAATAGCACTGAACAATTCTAACAGTTAAGTTCCAAAGAGGACTTGGCACCTATGAGACCATCATACATGCTAAGGTGTTTAAGTAGGGTTTTAAAAGGAGCAAGACAGATTCCAGGGGGAGGGAAGAGGATAAGAATTCTCATCTGAAAGTCGGTTAAAGAGACAAACTAGCCTCAAAAACATCTTAATTTAGAAGAAATAAGTAATGCTTTTGTTTCACTAACTTGAACTTTTGCAGTTATACTAATATTCAGTAATAGCATATAGATAGCCAGTGGAATTAGTAGATGTAAAATTTTAAAACAAAACAAATTCAAATAAGAGAACTCTGTAAATTACAAAGCAATTCTTCACCTTTGTTTTTTTTTTATGTCTTTGAATTATGATTCTCCAACATACAGCAATGCCACAGACCCTTGCATGTTGTAGGCAAATTTCATCAAATATTTTCCCAACAAATAAGACATTAAACCACCACACAGATTGCAGGCTTAAACTTAATACTTCTTACTATGTGGGGAGACTTTTGGCATATTTGTTAGCCAATGAGACATCCCACTGATACTTCGAACTTGGAAAAAATGCTAGTACTTCCATATAATGAAACATTTGTACTTAAATTGAAGTTATAAATATTTATAAGAAAAAAACAAAAATGTTCAATAAGGAGTGAATATTCTATTGAGATATCTTAAATAATTAAGAATGCATCTCTGCAGACTTCAAAATACAAGAAGGAAATACATTTTTGTTCAAATTTACTCCTCCTGAAGATCTGAATTGACCCATAGTTGACCCATATTGGAAAATTTAGAGAAGAATATGAATTCATGGCCCAGTTAGGGAAGCACTGCAGATGGACAGCAGAAGGAAGGTGAAGAGCAGTATCTCATGCTTTTCTGGTAGTGCATATTATTTCCAGCCATCATGAGAGGCCTTCCCTGGCTGTTACCTTGAGATGGCCAATGTTTTCTAGCGGAGGTTTTGGGAGGAAGAGAACTATCACTGCATTTCTTTCTTTGTTGTGAATGAAGAAATGGAGTAGCAAGCAGAAGCAAGAAAACAAAAGAGAAGATAGATAACAGATATGAGAGACATGGTGCAGAATTTTACAGGTGTTAACTGAGGGGTGGAGAAGAGAGAGTAATCAGTTCTTTTTATGAAATATAATTGGGCATGCAATGAGTGAGGGTGATGATGTTTCACAATGGTCAGCATTTTGTAAATTCCAGTGTTATACTTACCAACTAACAAAACAAGTTCAAATAGGAAAAAAAGAAAAAAGGGAAAAAAGTCTATGAGAGTTTTTACAAATGTGTACATTTAAAAATGTTCATTATACTAGTGGACGTTATCCTAACCACTCAGTCATAAAATATCTAGAGATGTACTGTCTAATATGGTACCTATAGCCACATTAAATTTAAATGCAATTAAAATTAAATAAAATTTCAGTTCCTAGATGTACTAGCCACATTCCAAGTGTTCACAGTCACCTTTGGTTAGTTGCTACCATACTAGAGAGATACAAAACAGTTCCATCATCACAGAAAGTTTTACTGGAGAATACTACTTTGTCAAACTTTATTTTCCTCACTCAATTCTTCAAAAAACAAAAAACAAACAAACAAAAAACCAAAAAACAAAAACCACACAGAGCTCCATGCAAATTTACTCCATAGCTGTTTTATCCATTTCTATTACAAATTTTTCTTCTTAACTATTCCCATTCCTAAAATCTTTTTCTTTCACTACTTTTAATAATAATATAAATAAAGCTAATCTTCAGCTGCCTGTGTGCATATCCCAGCTTTATCACTTAAAAAAATGTTGTTTTTTTTTTCCTTCAAAAACAGCAAATCCTTCATGTCTCCCTTATTGCCTCCAAAATGAAATCCCTCTTTGGTCAACTGAGTGTCAAATAAGGATTTCTGGCACATGTGGTATATAGTTATCTATACCTACTCATATTTTAGCAAATGATAATTGTGGTATATACTGGATACACCCAAACTCTATATAATTTACGATAGGTAGACCTCAATTTTAGAAGTAAAGAATATAGTGATACCTGCATTTTATTTCACATCCTATTCTGCCTAACTGTTGATTTATACTGAGTCATAAAGAATGCTGATTTATATAATTACTTATTAATATATCTTCAAGGACGTTTTAAAGTATCTATGGGCTCCTAAGTGCATAATGTATCTGTTATTAA